AATTAACAAACGGAGACGTAACACAGTATTACAACATGCAGTAATACATGTATTTGCAACATCCATTTTCTTAATTTCTTTCTCATATTTCATCATGTTGTTAGAGCATGTCAAATTTAGCTTTCTAGAACAAGATCGGCCTATAGGTGAATCACCAAAACTGCTATTGTGTCAAGAACGTTTCGCGGAAAATTGTACCATTTTTGTTAAAGTGTATAAATAATCTCGTATTTCAAGTGGTCGGTCTACATTTGACAGCCAATATTGCCCGACTGTTTCAAACAACAATTTCTTACTACAATGATTATTTTAAACTGTACAGAATGTCTTACTGAAACCCCTTATTTTCTTATCCAACAAGAAAGTTACTTCTTATATAAAAACCATAGTACAGCTAAAGGGTTAGTTACTATTGCTCCTGTTAGGTTTATTAAGACGGGATGACCGTAATGAAATAATTTACCATACTTTGTAACTAAGAACGTTTACTCCTTGTGAAGTTAATGTAGTATGTTGGTATCTAAGAAGGGTTGCCATAGTGAAGTTAATGTAGTATGTTGGTATCTAAGAAGGGTTGCCATAGTGAAGTTAATGTAGTATGTTGGTATCTAAGAAGGGTTTCGTATAGTGAAGTTAATGTAGTTTGTTGGTAACTAAGTAGGTTGCCATAGTGAAGTTAATGTAGTATGTTGGTATCTAAGAACGGTTTGGTATAGTGAAGTTAATGTAGTTTGTTGGTAACTAAGAAGGTTGCTATAGTGAAGTTAATGTAGTATGTTGGTATCTAAGAAGGGCTGCCATAGTGAAGTTAATGTAGTTTGTTGGTAACTAAGAAGGTTGTCATAGTGAAGTTAATGCATTTGGTTGGTATCTAACAAGTGTTGCCATAGTGAAGTTAATATAGTCCGTTGGCAACTAAGGGTTGCCCATGACAAAGTCTTTGCGAAATGTTCATAAAATGTTCCAGTTGCCATTTTATGTAACCTATTGATTTATTCGTAAAACTTTAATATGGAACACACGAAAACTGCAAAGATACAGTTCCACACCCTAGATCAGGATTCCGTTTTTATTTTTCATGAGTACATTTTGTTTTTTTTCCCACAGATATCAATTCACGACACGAGACAATTGTATCAAAAATCGGAAAATCAAGGCTTCCTTAAGTACACATCGTGTGGATCTATTATTTACCAGTTGCGAGAGGCTAACGAAGAAGCCACTGGATTGGTGGATTTCACTTGCAGAGCTTTAAACGTCATTGGTTCTTCCGGTAAGGCTTAGGTTTGTTCATTATTTATTCAAAAATACACATTCTTTTTTCTTCCTCTTACTTATAACTGAAGCTTTCTTTGATTTTCACTAATAAATAAATGTATACACCAATACTGGGGCATCGTCCCAATATTGGGGCATCGTCCTATAGCACATTTTCTAATTACATTAATTTTTAAAGAAAATGGCGGACAGTGTACACCATCCAGGTACACGAAATTTATGAAGATATCTTTTTTTAAAACTTATACATATATTTGTTTCTTCTATACATCGAGAAAGATGTAGTTATTGCTTTCGTGAAGAAATGGCTATGAGTTCCCCATCACATCATAAGCTACAACATATTCAGGGCTAGATAGTTTGAGATCATAAGATGCTTCTGTCCCAGGTTCAAAAAACTGTGAAACAATAACTAATTGTTAGCACAACAATGTACGTTCATCACTAACAGAAAAATAGAACGTACTACAATGTAAGTTAGGAATACGCGTAATGAAGTTGCTAACACACTAGTATTGTAAGGTAGTTAACACACTGGTACTTTAAGTACCTGTTTTAGCCACTCGCACCACTACACAGTATTGTGTTGTCTGTCAGTCAGTCAGTAGACACTAAAATGACGTGACATAAAAGATGCAGTTTTTATCTCTGAAACATATATGCTTTCATTTGATATATCTTGAGAGTTTTACATTCCAAAAACCAAGTATTCCGTAAATGAGAATCGGGTGTACCCTACTTGTTGACACGTCATACTGTAGATCGAGGATTCACGGTTCGCGTCCTGTTATCGTAAGATCATGCTCCGTACATTGTGGGCGTGAATGCGTTGCTTGTAAGAGTGATAGTCAAATTCCACTGCTCGATCCAGTTCCTTTCCTCTAGTCTACAATATTAAAAGTTACGGATTGCTATACATAGATAACCCTCGTTTACCTTTGTGCAAATTTCTACACAAACAAAGGTAATAATAATAATAGTATATTGTTATTACATAATTTTT